ATAGCGGACGGGATCGAAAAGAAGGGGGACGGCATAAATGGGGCGGCCGGTGGACAGCGTGCGAGGGCCGGTATGTTGTGATGCAAGCCAGCTCTATCAGCCGAACCACGCTTGCTCGAATGTCTTTCGGCCGATTCTCAGAAAGTGGCCTTCGATCCAATCGCGCCACCGTGCCTGCGTTGCAAGTCCGAGGCCTCCCGGATGCCCGTGAGGATCTCTTGAACGGCCTCTTGGATGCCTCTTGGAGACGGTTTTGGGGGTGTCTTGGGAGCTTCTTGATGCCTGATTTGGGCACCTCGGGAGCTTCTGGGGGATCTTGGGGCCATCTTGGAGCGGAGGGCTCAGAATGGTAGCTCGTGCTTCCCACCTTGGGGCCCCCTTGGGGCCGTCCTGGGGGCCTCCTGTGCCCCTTCTGGGGGCTCTTGAGCCATTTCGGAACGATCTCGGTCGCCTCTTGGGCAGTCTTGTGGACGCTCTAGGAGCGCTTTGAGAACATGCGGTTCTGCGAAAACCATATGAGAACCATGGATCTTCAGGACGTTGGCTTCTGGGGCCGCCCTCCAGGGCCTCCAAGGCGGCTCGAGAGGCGCCCAAGAGGGCTCCAGGACGGTCCCTACAGTCGGGGGCCTGCAGAAGGAACCCTTTTCGTTGGGGAGGGGCTCCGTGTTCCTTAGGTGTTTCACAGGTTGCCTCAGGTTCTCCTTATGTTTTCGATCGGAAACCGAAGTTTACGTATGGAAAACAGAGGTCTCGTTCCTTATTTAGGGTTCCTTAGGTCAACGCCCCGACTGTACGGCCATCTGAAACAGTAGTGGACACGCACGTCCCGAACAACACGCTCTCGGCCTGCGGAAGAGTCACGCGGGGACCCCCTGGCGGCGCGCGAGAGCACCCGGCAACGCCCGCGAGCGCTCGGAATTTCAGGCTGCGAAGATATTCACAGGACTCAATGCAGAGAGCTCGAAGGGACCTCAGGACACTCCAACTTGTTCCTCAGGGCACGGCGGCGCCTTTTCGCTTCCGTCGCCATGTTGACACAATTGATTGTTCATTGTTGTTGCATATTCCTCTCTCTCACATAGTTTTTGTTTGTTCTGTCTTTCGCTCTCTGTCTCTTCCGCCCCCTGTGTCTCTGTGCCTGATTCTGTCTCCATCTCTGTCCCTGTGTTCTGTCGCCGGGCTGGGTCACTTTCACCGTGGCCGTCTCTCTCTCTCTCGATCTCCGCTGCCTGCATCATCGCCATCATCGTCTAGTTGTTCGTCGTCGCCACAGACCGCCACTGGTTCTGCTTCGATCGATCCTGTTTTGATCGTTTCGATCGCTTGATCGCCCTGATTCGACCTCTCTTGCTTCCCGCTGTGGGGAGCACCCCCCCGGCCGAGGTGACACCGGTAGAGGACTCCGAGCCCGGAACGAATTCCAGCTCCCGGAGGCTCAGCGTCGATTGGTATTCAGGAGTCCACATGGGGGGTGAGGACGGGGGAACGGGGCCCTGAAGCCGACAGAGTCGAGTATGTATGTATGTATATGTACATGTACATGTACATGTATATGTATATGTAGATGTGGATGTGGATGTAGATGTATATGTAGATGTAGATGTAGATGTAGATGTAGATGTATATGTATATGTGCATGTATATGTATATATTTATATTTAAGTTCATCTGTAGACGTATACTTATGTACATGTATATGTATTTGCATACGTATATGTATCTGCATTGTTCCGGTATGTTTATGTATATGGGTAAAGCCGAACGTGTATGTATATATGTATTTGCGTCTGTATAGTCCTGTGCTTGTACATGTAGATATGTTTGTATATGTATAGGTATACGTGTTTGTATAGTTGAAGTACATGCATATGCACATGTGTATATACATAAGTTTATCTATATGTGTAGCTGCACATGTATATGTATACATGTATATGTATGTGTACATGTGTATGCGTTATCCTATTCACATGGGTCTGTCTACGTATACTTTATATGGTGTGTCAAGGTCTGTGTATATGTGCACGTGTAGGTATATGCATATGTGTATGCAGCAGTGTATGTATTTGTATAGGCATATGCATATGATTTCGTATAGTTTGATGTATATGTGCAGGCGTATGTGTATGCATATGCAAGTGAATGTGCGTACT